AGTGAAAGTTTGAAAATTCAAGAGATATATAATACATGCAGACAATCGATGAGCAGTAAACATACTCATTATCCTATCGAAAATTCCCAATGAATGGATGCCCTAACTCCACGATGAGGCACTGCCTTCCTCTGGTCTGTATATACATGGAGAATGTACTGTCATTGTTGAATGTACTGTCATTGTCGGCATTACTCTAATTCAAACAGATCGATCATTAATCTTGTTGAAAGGTATAAATGATAAATATTAAGGATTCATGCATGCACATTACTCTAAAACAGCTCTAACCCTAGCTCTTGTTAATAGGTACTGTCGGCACTCTTGCTGAAAGACTTAACTGATTAGGACCATAGCAAATAGTAGAGAAAGCTATATTTGTGATGGACCTAAACCGAGGGGTGCTTGAGCTAGCTCCGGTAGTGCTTTGTTTTTTTTTTCTTTTCCAAAACGGTAAAAACTTTGATTAAACTTGAATCGAAACGTTTATATCAGATGACAGAGTGCTGAACAACCATTCCAGTTCAAACTCATTCCAACTATGAAGGCCATCTTCCTTAAACACAAAAGATGCCACTAGATGTGTTGTCCTCTTACTTTTATGTTTGTTTGTCTGAATTATCTCCAGATCATTGGATTGGTTAGTAAAAGATGTATTCATGTGTCAACCCTTGAAATTTTTCTTGTTTGGTTAATGAAATTGCTATCGCTTGTTGTAACAGAATATAGAAAGCCACTCGTCAATGAATACTAACTATTATGACATGGGTGGGTGATGTGCTTATATTTTAGGTTTAATTACACTATGCACTACATATTAAGAGAACCATCCTTACCAACTAAGAAGATTAAGTTACTTTCATGGCATTTCTAAGTTTAAAAGTTGAATAATAGAATTAACTTTTAAGGACAATATCACTTAAAATGCACTCTCTTTTTTTCATCTCCCACAACCCTATATTTCTCTTTATGCTATTAACTATCTGTAACTGTCATCACATAGTTTTCTAGTATTAATAAACAAAATAAACAAAACACGTGTTATAACATGTGTAGACAATAACACTATTATAAGAAAACATAACAGTAGCCACAAATATTAGTTGAACAAATTGAGGTGGGTAAAATGAGAGATTTTTTGGTCTATTAGAAACTTCTATTATAATTATAATGTGTTTTTTTTAATTAATATACTATAAAAGTAGAACATAAAAACTATGTTTCCAACCCACTATATTATAATACGTAAAGTTGTACACCACATGACAAGTGTTCCGAGTAGATAAAGTTCCCCATCTTATTTTTCTTGTAGTGCAACTTGAACTATCAAACACTGAAGTTTCCAAAAGGATGTGGTGACAGATACGATTAGTCCTTCTGTGTGCGCATGGCTATAGGGTAGTTGATGATAAGTTGATAACATGTTTTAATGGTGGTGAGAGCACACCGTACGTAAATAAAGATCAAGCAAGATGAAGCAATGTAAGGTGGATACGCATGTGGGGATAGCTAGCATGAGACCCCCCATAAATAGGGGCTCTCTGTAAGGTACCTATACCAGCCCTAGTCTGCAGTGCCCACTTGCAACTATCAGGCTGGCAGTTATACGAAGGAACCTTTTACCCTTTTGTGCTTTTAGCTGCTATACATCACGTTTCTGATGCCCTTGTGGGAAGATTTTGGTTCTGAGTCACAGATATGTTTGGTCCCAAAAGCTTGAACGGTACATAAGATCGTGCAGAATCCATCTTATTTTAGAGATAATAATATGTGTCCCACACATATGCAGTAGGCGGAGTCAAAATTTTAAATAATTGTTCATGATATCGACCAAAAAGTTTCATTCGACTATTTCGTTGAACCTCTAGTAGGCATCTACCAATTCCTACAAACGTATGCCCAAAATTTATGCCAACATATATACACAACTACTATTATTTGTAGAGGCTTGTCGAGGATGGTTGCAGAATACTATGGAGTAATGTTGAAGACTGTCAAGGTTTGTCAACTAAGGTATTTCATCGAGCACATGGTGGCCCACAATAGAGTCTCACACAAGAAGAGAGAAAAAAAAGACAAAGATGTTAGAAGAAAATAGAAGAAGCAGGAGGAGGAGATTATAATTTAGTTTGCCTTAACTGTTTATAAGGATCAAATATAATACACAAACAAATATACATGGAGTTTTTTTAAGTTGTTGGGGGCCAAAGGCAACCAATGACCTCATATTAGCTCTGCCACTGCACATATGTTCGGTATGCTAAATGATACATACTTCTATTGCACTATATATGTAGTTGTGACATCTTAAGAATAACTCCCCTATCTTGGATTCAATAGGCCATGTGACGAGAGAGATAAAAAACATTGAAACTGCATGTGATAGTAACGTAGTTTATTTGTCATGAAATAAGTCTTGTGGATTGGAGAGTTTGTCATAATAATATATTAACATCATTAATTAGTTACCATAGATTGTCATGGATTTGACTCATTTCCAATTGTTGAAATGACAACATTTTATTTTACAAACGTCACAATCAGAATCGTTCATTCTCTTTATCATCATCATTTAAAGAACCTCTCTAGAGTAATTTTGTCAATTTAAATACCTTTTAGTCATCCATATGTGCCCCACAAATTGACGGTTATGGTAACAAGTGACTCCTTGTGATAAATTGTCAATTTGTTTGATTCATATGAATGACTAAACGGTCTTCAAATCAAATAATTTTTTGGATATGATCTTTAGGTGATTATAAAGAGAAGGTTTTTATCACAAATAGTCCCTTAAATTGACCCACACCATCAAAATAGTCCCTGAAATTGAAAATCGATCAATGCAGTCCCTGAAAATAGGTGTTGCAAATCAATATGATCCTTTCATCACAATTCTATCAAATATTATGTTATGTGCTGATGTGGATTAAATGATTTAATAACAAATTAAAAAAATTGTCAAAATACCTTTTTCTATAGTGAGATTATCTCAAGTCAGAGCTCGTCATTCTCCGTGTCACCAAGATCACCGAGGGAGAGCCCAACAAGCTCTTCACGATTAAGGTTGTGAGGTTGTCGATCGCCTAAATGTTGACAATGATGTCACAGAAGTCGCCATCAATCCAAGCCGTCACCAAAGATGGTATCAATCCATATCCAATTTGATGAAGGGTATCGAAGGGTGTAAAGATGAGTGTCTTGAGAATTTTTTTTTCAAAGAAAAGACGGTGAAGGCTACCATAGATGGAGCTAGAGAAGTGTGGGTCAGGATCAGAGGTGATTACGAAACTGGGTTTTTGGGTTGACATCTTTTTTAATTAATTATTAAATTATTAAACCTATTTATAATTTAATTAGACTTGTGAGACCAATTTATGTGCCATTTCAGCACATAACAATTTTTTTTTTTTACAGAATTGTGACCGAATGACCACATTGATTTGAGATCTATTTCTAAGACTGGTAAATCTATTTTCAATTTCAGGAACCATCTTGATAATATGGATCACTTTCAGGGACTATTGTGATATAAACCCTTAAATCTTGTGGGACCCATGTATGTGTGGCATTAGCATATAACAGAACCTTTGACAAAATTGTGATGGAAGGACCACATTGGTTTGTAACACCTATTTTCAGGACTACATTGATCGATTTTTAATTTCATGGACCATCTTGATGATGTTAGTCAATTTTCAAAAATTATTTGTGATAAAAACCCCTAAAGAGAATAATTCTTCATAGTATAATGTGTGTACGGAAATAGAATGATACAACATCATGTATTTGTCAAGAATGAATAACTCCTTACCCTGTTTGGCAGATCGGATAGAGGATCGGATAAGACTAATTATACAGACGCGGGTGTTTGGCGTTCACTCGTACTAAATAAGCGCCGGATTAAATTAACTGGTGTGCTTATTTAGCACGATATACACCGGACTAATAAAACCAACCAAAAGGCCGGGATTATTAGTCGGCCCTCTCTCTCTCTTGCCTTCTCTCGACCCTCTCTCTCTCTCTCTCTCTCTCTAGGCGTCGTCGTCCTCCCCCCCTGTCACCTTCTCTCACCATCGTCGTCCTCCCCGTCGCCGTCGTCGTCCTCCCCTGCAACTGGGTCTTACAAAGAAGCATGCACTCTCTTGGCCGGCATGGTGTCTGGGAAACCTCTCTTCTCAAAACGCCAACAAACTACTCTCCTTCTCTCTGTCAAACCGCCGCCAGTCCATTCCACTTGCGATGCTGCAGTGCAGGAGGTAACCTTGTCAACAAATCGTTAGTTTGTTTCGTTTGTTGCATCTTGATTTGGGTTGATGTGGATCTGATGACTCATGGTTGCTCACCAGATGTGCAGGCAGGCGGGGAAGAAGAAGGGAGAGAGAGGGAGGGCGTTTGAGGGGTGCGGCGGAGAGAACGGGGAAGAAGAAGGGATGGTTTCAGATTTAATTTTTATTTTTATAAGTTTAATTTAATTTTAAGTTTGATTTAGCCTATCCGGTATAAAACCAAACACAGTATAAATAATACGGTCATTAATCCGATACTGCACCAAACGCCCGACTAATTTAGTCAGTACTATCCGGTGGCTATTTATCATATCCGACAGAAATAGTCAGTACAGTCCGAGCTGCCAAACGAGGCCATAGTGTCTTAATTAGAGTTTCCAATGGGTCCACCCAGATCTCACCTGATTATTGCCAAAAGCCTTCTGCAGGAGATACGCAGTGAGCCAGAATTATTTTGCATGCATGTATGGATGAGTTATGTCATTCCATTTAGTTGCCTTGGTGGAGAGCAACTATAAACTTTCGTTTTTCGTTTAAATGAAATCGTAAGTTAATTACTGCAATAATATAAGAACCACCTCCCATTTGTGAGTGTTTTAGCTCTTTATTCAATTGAAAATACCCATGTCATTGAAATTCGTTTGAAGAAAGTATGATCATTTATGTTCTCTGTCTCTGAGAGAGAGAGAGAGTACCGACTACCACAAAGATACATTATGGACGCTAAAAAGGAAATTTATAGAATAGAACGAGAGAAAAGACAAACACAAAATTGTGAAAATTTGATTACACGGCTGAGAGATCCAATATTATACTTAATAAACTTTTAATTATTAATAATCCAACTTAAGTAGCCACCCAAAAGGGCTCCCAATACTTTAACAATCCTTTCTTCTCACACTCACCGCCACCTTCTTTGCACCTGCTTGGCCTTTCAAACTTTTCTATTCCATCTTTACCCCTAACATTCAAACTATTCCCATCCACCTCCTCACCCTCTATCAAACACACATTTGAACTATTCCCTTCTTCTTCTTCTTCTTCTTCTTCCTCTTCCTCCTCCTTATCGCCTTCTAATTGTTCTACCAATTCTTCTTCTGTATTTTCTCCCACCACTTCTTGATCTTGCTCTTCTGTTTCCTCCTCAATTATGTCATTTTCACACCCTTCATTGTATTCTTGAATGGCTGCTGCTTCTTCCTCTGAGTCAAAACTGGGAGTAAAGGTTTTTGAAAGGCACAATCGAAGGCGGCCATTGCTTCTTTCAGCTTGGAAGCATGAATGACTTAAAGGGGCCTTGACAGCTTTGATGATCAGCCTCCCATCTTCCCTGTGAGGCCTAAAGTGTAGAGAATCCTCGCCGCTTATTGTTGTCAATGGAGGTGGGAAATTGTGAACATTATTCGCCTTCTTTGCACCCGAAAATTTATGCTTATTTTGATGCTCCCTTGCCGCTGCATTCGATTCTGATTCATACATTGGTGAGAAAATGCTGAAGCTTTCTGTGATAATGGCGCCGGTCTCGCAGCCCAAGTCTTCAGTGCACAACTCCAAGCTCTTCTCATTTAGCTTAGTAGCTGATGAGTTCCTATAAACCCTAGGAGGGGTGTAAGTATTTTCTTTGTCCACCTCAGCAGTAGGGTTTTCTAGTGAGGGTTTGGAGATAGCTTGGAGGAAACTCCAGCCACCCATGTCAGATTTTTTGGAGGTGCCCTTATTGCTGTTGATTTCCTCATAATTATTGCATTTCTCTTCAGAGAAACAAGCTTTGATTCCTAATTCTTGGGGGGTAATTGGAGAGAAGTGATGAGCTACCGGTGCAGAAAGCTTTAGCCTTAGGGTTCTTGGCTCCACAAGGTGAGGAGAATCCAGGCATGACTGCAGACCTTGGCACACGATTGTCGCCATATACGCTGGAAATTTCCAGGAAATTAAAAATGGTAATCAAATTTTGAGCTGGAAAACGAAAGGAAAAAGTGGGTGTAGGGAAAATAAGGATTCAGATAGAGGGGTTTTGTTGTTTTGTGGTGTCTGAGAAACAGGGTAAAAGCAGAGGACTCTGTTTTGCTGGTGTTAGGAAATTAGAACAAGGGGAGGTTTTTGTGTTGTTTGGAGAGTGAGAGAGGGGGGGGGGGGGGGGGGGGGGGGGGGGGGGAGGGGGGGGGGGGGGGAGGGAGGAGAGGAGGAGAGAGAGAGGAAGGAGAGAAGAGAGGAAGGAGGGGATTGAGCATGGGTGAAAAGAGAGGGTGTGGAGTGTGGGTATTTGTAGTCCTCCAAGGTGGAAGGTGTAGATCTTAGAAGCAGAGGTGGCCCAGGCGGGCAGGAGGCCTTTTTTACACCACTTGAATTATACAATTCTTAGTATGCTACACACTCCAACTAGACAAGAAAAGGAGTTTAAAAAAATAATCTTCACAAGTAAGCTCTTCAAGGAGCTTTAAATAATTAAATATCGTGTTAATATAAGGAATTCGAAATTTTAAGCAAAAGAACTTATTTTTCTTCTCTGTTTCCCAAATCTCATGTGGACATAAAATGCCCTTATCTGGGCATGCATGAATGTAGTTAAAGAGAGAGACACATGGAATTTATCATTTCTTTTAAATTACCAGCTTTCCTATTCCTTTCCAAATGAAAGCCGACAAGGGGCAAGGAAGAAAAGGATTCCGCCAAATATTTCTTGACAGTGATATTGCTTTTTCTGTTTCTGAAATATAAGATTTATCAATTAAATACTACAACACTGTGTAGCTAGAGACCAGTTTTTTTATGTATGATCCATATGCCATACGAGTCCGTCAATCCGTTATATAATATATAAAAAAAGAGGAAAAAGAAATACATCAGCACACACCCTTTGAAATTTCTGAGTGGAATTACTAGATTTTGCGCATATTTATTTATATATTTTGCTGACCACAGATTGTATACACACAGTCGACTAATTAGCCTCCATCCATATAGTAAACATAGGAATCTAGGGGAATATATTATCACCTTATGTTTTATTTGAATGTGTAGTCCAAATTGAATGACATAAAATACCAAACTTCTTGGATGCTCTTGTTGTGGAGAGTGATCACTTGAAGACATCTCTAGGATGCCATCATGATGTTCCAAAGCAATAATACAATGTCGTGCATGATAGTTAAACTACATGTCACTGTAATATTGACTTAAAATGTCATTGTAATATTTTAAAGGGGGTGTAGATATGTAAGTCATTCCCCTTATTGTGAGATGGTAGTCTAGTACATTTATTCTTCTTGATAGATGATCTAACTAACCGCAGTACAGTGCTATTATCAACGCCTACAAGTAAAGCTCGATTATTGGTTTTGTTAATTTTGAACAATAGCAAGTGGCCCTTTACCACAGTGGTAAAAGGTGTTGCTCTTGCTTGATGGTGTGGGTTCAGACCTTGTTTATAATTAATCTAACATTTAATTTAACAAAATCTATCATTTGATAAAATAAAAAAATAAAAAAAATTCTAAATCAGTCTAACGAAAAAAACATTACCTAGATTGTAATCTACGTATTATTCTATGTATACCAGACCAAGATGGGAAGATTCATGCTGCATGCATCGAAGGGGGGATAGAGAGGGGACACTATCCATGCAGCATGCATCAATAATTATGTTCGGCGAAATAAAACTTAGTTAGCTTCAGCAGGGAGACAGAATCCCATGGGTATATTTTCCTATGGATCTTTGAAACAAGAGAGGGGTGATGGAGTGCTGAGTCCCACCCCAATGAATGATCCAGCAAAAACTAGCCTATCTTGTTCAAATATAGTCATAATAATGCCTCATGCCTGCCTGCTCGGAATATTTCTCAACACAAGTACTCGAAATCACGGAAATTATTCTTCAATTTGATTACAACCTTGAAACTTGAAAGAATCTCTCAATCGTGTAACGCATTTAATTTGTTTGGATGATGCTATTCACACACATATTTTTACTTTTCATACATTGTTCTCTCAATTTTCTCAAACGTTGAATGAAGAATATCAATATATAAAAATTAATAAAAATATTTGAGATATAAAAATTGGTACATGAATAGTACTATCTTTTTTCTTTTCTTTTTTTCTCTTCAATTTTGTGCGTTGGAAAGGCGATCGATGTGGTTCCCTCCAGCTTGGTGGGTTGTACGTTTGGTTTGTGGTAACAATTATTAATTATGTTCCTGCCATCACTTTGCACCAATCCCAAAAGGCCATGCAAACTTTTATTATGACTGTTAATTCTCTGTAGAGCCACGGCACTAATTGTACGGACACTTAGGTAGACATGTTAAAAGCTAAGTGATCCTCCACTAGGTTACCCTTTTGTATGTCGGCCGGCTATGTGCCTTGCTAATTCAAACCTAATTAAGGCTATATCTTTGATTAAGAAAGTTCTAAATTTTAAGGTATTGAGTCTAAATTGGTATAATGGACCAAAAATGTAGTTAGAGGAGATTGGCTATGCCGAGCATTATAAAGACATATGAGAGAGAATTATAAATGATACATTCTAAGTAGAAATTTGTAAATATCTCTTACATGTCTGTGTTTGTTTATAGAAGGCGTTCCTAATTCACTCTATCTACATTCTACATTCCATTTTGTACTAAATTGGACTCAATTTTTGAGACTTGGGAAATTCCTCACTCAAACATAATCTCAATGTATCTCTCTCTCAAAAGAAAAACTCGTGTGGAGACTTATGTGCCAAGTGGAAAAATGAGGAGAGACGGAACTATTTACAGGCCACAAGCTAGCATCCCTCCTAAGCATGAAAGTCTAGCTTTGCCACTAATTAAGCAGGAGTGATTGGTACTACCTAATAAAAACATAATGCGCATGTTTTAAGTTTTATTTTTTATTTAAACTTCTTAACAAAATATATTTTAGCGGAACATTGCATGCATGTGACTCATCTTTCCATGTGACAGGAAAGTCCTCACGTTGGTTCTTTTCTCTTTCTTTCTCTAAAATCATATCATTCATATTTATCAAATACTATACCAAAATGAAATACCAACACGACTGCAAGAGCGATCAGTGCTGCCTATAGTTAAAACATAACATACATATGTTTCAAATTTTTTTGTTATAGTTCAAATTCCATAGCATATATATTCAAACTAAACACTGCAGATATTTTGACAAAAAAGAAATATTGCATCCACTTGACATGATGAAATTTCTTTATATCAAAGTTCCCCGAGAAAGTTCTTTGATCTCTCTTTAGCTAAAAGATTATTTAAGGCTTGCTTATTGATAAAAATGGAAATTAAAGCAGCTCAAGCTAAATGCTAAAAGCATATGCCCACCCCAAATACTAAAGCATGTGGGAAGACAACAAGTGACCTACCCTAAATGCTAAAGCATACGCTCAGAATAGTCTAGGACCACTATCCTACAAATGTTGCTTTTAGGAGTACTGGTTGCTCCTACTGGAGGGCGTTTTGTGGTGGTGAGTGATGTGGGTTTCCCAGTATAGAAATTTTAGAGCAGAAAGCTGAGCAATTGGAGGAAAAAGTAAAAAGGAAACCAGCAGGAGCATCCGGCAATCAAATTCTTTTTATGTGTACCTGCTGACAATATTGTATCATTTGCACGTTGCCTTGTGTTTTTATAATTTATGCTGACCAATGAAAATATGTATAATATTAGCAGAATTAATTCGTATTGACGTAAAAAGTGTACTGTTTTTAAACAATATTTTGTTTCATACTAATATATCACCGACCTCTTTTGGTCGATCGAGTGCATGCTGTTAAAACATGCATTCTCATAATTTTATTTTACATTTAAGTTAATAATAATAGAGGTTTAAGAGGCTGAAAAGGCCAAGAATTTGCATGAGAGTGCATGCTGAGTTGCTGCGGTGACTTTCTTCTGGCTTATCAGTTGACAGATAGATGGAGAACTCCGCCAAACTAAAGTAAAACTTATAAACCTTATTTACTAATGGGAGGATTAATTAAATCACCAGAGATGCAATGATGCAATCTGTTCATTGTCTTGTTTCTTTGCGAAGAAAATGTTCTATAACGTCATTAGTTTTGCTTTTGTCTTTAATAATTTCCATTTTCTATATGAAGTTAATTTGAATCATCTTTCTTTTTTCACATTATCCAATTAATTTTTGCTCATTTAATTTATGTTAATTTCCAATTTGCGCTGGTGACAGCGCAGTGTAGAATTACTTCATTGCCTTCAAATATAAATAAAAATACAAAAGATGAGAAGAAAAAACTAACTTATATCTTCTTCTCTATTGTCCATGATGTAATGAAAGCAATCTCTTCTCGTATTTTATAAGAAAATCAGCATATGAATCTATGATTATGATACAGACTAAAAGTGACCATATATGTTGCAGATTTTCACTCTATCAACTAAAAGAATTGTCGATAGCAACATGCATTTACTGTTCAAGTAGAATTTAGAAAGAATAATTGAACTCATGGATGCTTTCATTATCTTTGAGATATTTTGGAACGAAACTCGGAGCCATTTGTGCAGGATTTTCGTCTAAAGGGCAATTTAAGGTCAAATACCATGTACTATGGTCCTCGAATGCTGTTAATCCAAGAAGGAAAATTTGACCATCTATTATCATCTGTCTGTTCAATTTTATCTTACTTCTTGTTTTGTTAAACAATAGGATTAACAGCTCATAAAAAGAGAAAATTACAAATTAATATCGCAAGGTCAAGAGACATCATCAATATTAACCATTAAAAATTATTTATAACAAGAAGTTGCTCAAAATAAACGGAGATCATCATGTAAAAGATAGGCTTAAATTGACTAATTCATTAGCAACAAAATTTATTGTCGAATACTACAATTCCAATTGTGGTGCAACATTTCACGAGAATCTTATGGCACTTCATAGATTTCTAGCTTGGGGGCGTAAGCATAGTAATTCGATCTCAAAGTAAACACTGCCAAAGCAAAAACCTGAAAATTAATTAATAACCTTTTGGCACCTCTAATTGATCATACTTTTTTATTGCTCTCTATTAGTACAAAAATCTTCTACATCAGCAAACTAATTGAATAACAAAGGGAGCATCAAGCCTGCATCAGAATCTGTATTTTTCCTCCTAATCATTTTGGTTGAGAGAAAAACAGAGAGGGAGA